TTCATAAAATTGAAAATACTAAGTCAGGGTGAGACTATATAATACTAACTTACTAACTACTGTATACAGTAACTCTTATCGGAACTTAAAATTACCTTTTTCTATTTATAAATGAAATATTTGGCTGTCCAATTTCCAAAATTGTCGATTCAGTTCACGTTTTACGTCGATTGCACTTAGCCGAGGGAAACATTTTGCCTACTCTCCCTAATAAAGAAATGAAAAATTAATGTCTGAGCAAGTTGATGCATTTCGTGCAGTCGATCTATGGATGTTTACCCAATTTGCCATTAAGTGGAATGCTATGGGTTTGTTCCTGTGTTAAGTAAATTGACAACGTCCATTTTAACAGCTTTATCCAATTTCTCGTCCTATTAACTATTTGCTGATTTAGCTTTAAAGTAATTTATACGGATTTCTAAAGCAATGGGAAGTGACACATGGCTTAAGCAATCAACCGTGACGATTTTTGTTGTTTTTCGAAAGGCTTAGTGGCTACAAGAAGTGACAAAATGATGCTCATGTAGATAATGTCAAGTTAAAAATAGTTGTTTTATCAATTCAGTAAATCAGTGCCTGCCTTTTTTATTAAGCTCAAGATGTGATAAATCCAGAAATCGTCATTTTTTTATATAAAATACTGACAAAATTAAGTGGTCACTTTGAAGTGGGTGTTGAGGCGAATCTACCTTAATTCCTATAGAATCTCAATTCAACCATTACTATCACACAATAAATATATCGTGTTAAAATTTACTTCTAAACGAACCAAAGAGAACTTTCCTTTGTAAATAAGTGTTGTTGGTGATGGAGACCTCGATTTTTAAATCAATCGCACGCTGTCGTAGAACAAAGACAAAGTCAATGACATCCTAAAAAACTTCAGACTAGGCAATTCAAAATTTATTATGACCCTCAGTCATTGGAATATTAACGTTATTCCATGGTGATTATCACGAGAACCGAAAAATTAAGCAAACGTAAATATGGCGCAATTTTGGAGTTCGATTGGTGTGAAAGCCAAGCCAAACAAGGCAGAAATACGAGCTTTCCATTGGAGTGTAATACCACCCCATGCAGACAGATCGCCTAAAATTTCATTCCATTCCGACTTGATGTACACATCATACTTATGTCCGATCATAAATCCGAGAAATAGTTGCCTTTCAAATATTAATCGTATGACATATACGAGACCAATGTTAATGCTACCAGGGGGAATTGGACCTCCAGGCCTTACTATTTATACATACTTTTTTCTGTTTTGAAAAACTCGACATGGGATGTATATTTCTTAGTTTTTCAAAGAATTCTACAAATATTTCGTTGCGGTTTTATCTTTACATCGTAATTTCAATCACCGCCATCATTAATCAAACGCGTTACCTTGATATATCAGAACGTCATGCTATTCTCATACTTGTAGAACTTAATGTGACTGTCATTCACCATTTATTGAGCAGTAAAGAAAATAATCTGCAACATAGGTGACAAAATGTTCTAGTTTCCCGCTGAATGTCGAGTCTTTCATCATACGAATGTAATTTTAGGCGATCTGTCTGCGTGAGGTGAATATGACGAATAGGGATCTCTATAGTTAAACCTGTCAAGTAAACACCTCTCTCTAGTAAACACCTGGATACCCTTCCTCCGCACATACTCTACTGACTTCTGTATAAAGTATCCTCTCTGAAGTGAACACCTACCAATACTGAACGTTGTTTCTCAGCAAAAATGTTCAAAATTACATACTGGATTTACTCGCGATGAACGGTTCTACGATAAGATGCATATTGCGAGACTCGCGACCGGATAGACAGCTCATGATCACACGAATTTCCAATAGGGAGTTTTTATTTAAAGGCAGAATCAGACCTATAGAAGGTGATAAAGTTACGAGCAACATGCAAGCTCAAATATAATATCTCCCAAAAGATCTGTGATATGTAATCAATTGGTGAAGTTATTTAAGATTCAAAGTGAAAAAATGTTTAAATTCTCCCAAATAATAAGAATGGTAACCATTCTTATAAAAAATGATACGCTATTGGTAAAAATCTTTAGTTTTCCAGAAATAAAGTGTGCACTTTTGGGTATTTTTAGAAAATAGACATGACAAGGAATGACATGGGCTAGAAATATTCTAAAATCGAAACAATTTTTTGTTTGCCTGCCCGCTAGATCTGATTCTCTCTTTAAACTTACCCGATGGGGTAGAGTTTAAATATTGTTTTTAGAAATTAAAATCCTTTTTTCATAATTCTTTACTTTTCGGCCCATATGATTAGTTTATGGAATCGCTAACTCGTGTGTCCGTTTGTTCTCATGCTTATATCCATTACATTGGCGTTTGTATTTGCAGTTTACAAAATTGCTTTCGGCTACTACTTTTCCCCGATTTTATAAAAATAGCAATTTTGCCGTCAGTCAATACTGTTTCGCCCACTTTCGAAGTGGAACCAATCGCAATTATACCTTCAACACTACTAGCATTTGGACATACGATTATCGTGCTTGCTTCGAACTCACATTGATTCTCTTAACTTGGCATGTTGATGGATATTACACCTACATCGAGGGAGTTAATTGTAAATCGTGGGTATGCTATGTCATCACTGGAAAAATACACAAGTCCCATCGGCACATAGTGATTAGTATAATTAGCATCGATACAGGAAGTAAGCCATTTCAAGCCTGAAGTTTTGCAATTGCATGAGCTTGGTCATCATAGAAAGCAGAGTGTGTATCAAACAGATGAATTCATCCGGGATATTGAATAGACACGGTATCAACGTGTCAAAGTGCAGTTTTCAGTAACAAAGGTATAACAATTAACAACCAATGCATAAGTGAAACAAGCAGTACAAATAAAATGATGGTTATAACAAACAAGAAACAGATCATAAGTACCAATGGAGGGAACAATTATAAATATTCGATTTGTGCTGTAAATTACATTTGGAAAATAAAATAAAGGGCTGTTCTCGGTTTGGTGAACGAAGTTCACCACTCGAATTGAGCGTTACCTTTGCTTCGGACAAATTTGATTTTTTTCTACATAATACAGATTTAAATGTCTTCTTTAGAATAGTCACAATTTAATTCGGGTGATATTTCTAGATTTTTCATGAAAAAATAGTAGCGCAGTACACCGATGAACTTCTTTCTCCAAATCGAGACTTGTATTTTATTGAATCGACCTACTGTCCGTTATCCCTGCTTCAGACAATTGTGATGATTTTACATCTTGAAGATTGAATGTCCTCTTTTGAGTATTCATACTTTAATTTGGGTGATATTTCTATATTTTTCATGAAAAGAATTAGCCCACGAGACTGTTCTCCAAACCGAGACTTGTCCTTTTTGTATATAGAAAGTAAAAGAATGTAGTAAATGTTTAGTTTCCAGCACGCCCGGTGATCGTGAAAATGGGACGGAGGGGGGAGCAGGCGATTTCTGCAAGAAAATTCAACAAATCTGAGAGATTTATTTTTTCAAGAAAAAGTTTACTATTAAATTGCTGAATTGATAGGCGCACGGTATGGTAAAATATGTTAGGTCTTCTGGGATTTTTTCTGAAACGATAGGCATCTAAGATATGAGATCTATTAAAAAAGGCGCGAGGCAACCAACAGACACAAATCAACGTTTTAGCTATAAATCAAGCAACAATGGTCTACACGACCTGTATTAAATACTTGTAAGTGACGATATCATAACTAAATTAATGCCATTGCTGAATTTATAAAATAGGTTTCAATACGTAAAATAAAAAATAATCGAAAATAATTATGGGACGGAGGGGGGAGCAATATGTATCATGTCTTATTACATATTGCCCCCCCCCCTCCGTCCCAAAATTATTTTCGATTATTTTTTATTTCACCTATGGAAACTTATTTTACAAAGTCAGCAATAACATTAATTTTGTGACGATAATGTCACTTACAAGTATTTATTACAGGTCATGTACACCATTGTTGCCTCATTTATAGCAACAACATTGACTTTTGCACGTTGGTGCGTTGCGCCTTTTTTAATAGATCTTATACCCTAAAAGAGTATCGGTTGAAAAAAAATCCTAGAATACCTAACATATTTTACAATACCGTGAGCCTATTTATTAAGCAATTCAATAGTAAAATTCTTCTTTAAAAAATAAATCTTCCAGATTTGTTGAAATTTCTAGCAGAAATTGCCTGCTCCCCCCCTCCGTCCCAATTCTACGATCACCGGGCGTGTCCAGATGTCGTTCATACAATCAATAATTGTTTTTGATGACAGAAGGATATAAGACAGGCAGAAAGAGACTTTCATGTTAGCGTTGATACATTTTGAGAAAAAATGTTAATACTGTTTGACAAATGTAAAAATCATTTTTATTGAATACGATATTGACATTATCTTCAAATTCATCTCAATAAAGCGGAAAGTGACTTTGATCGTCGTGATGAAACACTTTATTGTATAGCTAATATACTATATCTAGTATACACTCCCCTCCATAAGTTTGCCAACGGAAACCCATCTTTTGACCACTTATCGAAGCCAGTTTATGCGTTTTAGACACGCCTATTAAAGGAATTCATCAAATGTGTCTAACATTTCAGAACTTTTGAGTCTGTTGGAATTAGGGAACAAAATTCACATACTGGCAGGCTTGCTTTGATATACTATGGGAATCTAATCTGATATCTAATGGAATCGTTCGGTTGCCAAACTTATTGACAGGAGTGTATACTGGCATTGTTAGATATAATACAATGAGGATTGGCTCCCAGAATGCACTTTCAATATTTTCCAACGATGAGAATGCTGTTATTGTCTGATATTAAATTGGCTGTAAAATCATAATCAGCATTCCCAGAGTTGAGCTAATATCTTGACCACTTCTGGTGTGTTTTGATTTATTTAGTTTAGTTTTTTTAGTTATGTTATAAGATCAACACTCAATTCAAAATCTGAAGTGAAAAATGGCTGTTTAATTTTAAATTTTGAACCACGACAAAAACCATGTCCATTGCCAATTTTCTTAAAGCATTGTATTTCAAGTATAACAAGGCAATAACATGCAAAATGTTGGCACCTGCCATTTGTTACAAACGCCCACCACCAACCTCGGAAGTAAGTCCACAAAAAACAATTTGAGACTTTTACAATATTTCAACACCTATGTCGGTGATATAAAATGATCAATGCTTTTTTTAATTTGGATCATGCTTCTGAATAAATTAAGCTTTTTTGGGCTGGAACATAGATGCACTTTTATGGCTCATATTTCGCTCATACATGGGCTTTCAATTAGAGTTGAAAGCCCATGGCTCATACCATCTTTGACAATTTTCAAAATGAAACAATCATTACATTCCAGAAATAATCAACCTAGAATTGATATACAAACAAAATATACAGTGTACTTTTTCATCATAAAATAAATAAATATCTGAATTTATTAACTACTTATTACAAACTTACTATAAATTTCTATCACCTTTTTTCATCTTTGCTTTTTACTCTTGTCTTTAACTCAAATGTTGCATTTAATTTGACACACATGTGAATTGTCGCATTTTGAAGTCTTTTTTGCATGGATAGAACATTAGCAGGAATGTCTGTACTCTCTTGGTCACCTTCCCATTCATTGTTTTCTGTCTCTTCTATATTTATAGGGCGACCCACCGATTGGTTCAGACATTGTGCCATTTGCAATGCTTTCTCTTTGGCATTTTTCACTGCAACAACACTCGTGTGACGCCTGAAAAAAGGGAATTCGGTTTAAAATTCAAAAAGGTGATTTTATGCTTTCTATTTCTATGTGTTCAAACTGTAGACCTCTCTTGAGGTCAACTGGCAAAACTGTATACCACCAATACTGTGAACCTTGAAACTTTTGTTCAATTTTAAGTTACCAATCAGAATTGTGTATTTCAACTGAGGAACTAACAATTTCAAATGGCAACTTTAGCAGGAATTAATGTAAATTAAATTAAATTGCAAAAAGTTAATTTAAAATACTTTAAAAAGCTAAACTTGTGAACTGAAAAATTTCAGCTTAATATACATGTAGGAAACCCAGATTTCCTCCCCATTATTCAAACTTTGATGTTAAATGTATTTTTCTTTCACGAAAACTTTCTGTTTACTTCCCTATCTATGATGATTGGTTTTACATAAATGACACACTGGTATATGACCCACCCTTTAAATACAGTACACTACCTAAAATGTTCTAGTCTCTGTTGTGAATGGAAGAATTGAGGCGTTCCAACAGTGACGGATTCATCCAGCTTCTCAATGATGTGATTTGATATTGTTTCACATTTCTTGAAGTCCACAAACAACACTAGTATTTCAACTGTGTACATAAAGAGAGACTCTTGACGCAAGAGCTGCTTCTGTACTTTGATGTCACCTTCCTGGAAATACAGATTCAACAATATTATTTTTGATGGATGTCCATAAAGTATATTTACATTACACCTTTACACAAACTATATTGCAATAATTGTAAGTAGTAGTAGATGTATGTTGTTCCTCGGACAATGGGCTTTCAAGAGTACAAGAGTCTCTTGAAGGGGCTCAGAACTCATATTTAATTGGTTCACTCTACAGTTTAAGACGAACTTCAGGATGTGAATATTCTACCAGGTTCATCCTCCCATCATAGGGCTTCAAAATCCAGATTATATTCTTTCTTTTTACTTCCTGCAATAAGCAGTTAGCATTTCCACGATTAAGAACTCGCAATCTGATTGGCTGTCGCAACACTGCAACAGAAATCATGTATAAGTCATTGCGCATAATTAGATCACGTGATTCAGTTAAATCGGGCGCATCCAAATTAGTTATAGCAGGGAGAAGAAGGAGGTACGGATTCTGGATACCTGCTTAGGAGGATGACCAGGTTCGGTCAGCGACCAATCGATGTCAGGTGTTGATACAGGTCCCTGTGATAAAATCATGGTGACATGATCAGTGATTCGTGATGTCTTCAAAAACATGCTCATATGAATATTTACCTTAATTTGAAAATTATTTAGGGATTGCAGAATGTAGTCAAGGCGTCGTTGGACACTGTTTTTTACTTCGGAGACATCTTCTTTCAAACTTTTCAAAATAATGTTGACCCTACATCTATCGGGCGGTAACTCCGCTTCCTCAGTCGCCGATACTTTAATTTGATTAGATCCAGACATTCTTGATGGTATTGGTTCATCTGCTGCCACTCTGGTTTGCCTTTTCCCGTCTGTTTTCTCAGTAAAACTAGCGAAAACCTGGGCGGGGCGATAGGAACTCATTTTCTAAACAAAACAAATATGGCGCGTTTTCCGACATGTCGCCAACATCATATGCCTATAAATTAGTTATTACTATAGACTAACACTGAGACGAAAATATCAATAATTAAATTTCTTTAATGTTTTAGGTGGAAGTATTATCAATTTAAATGGATAAAATTCTCATGAACAGAACACTGGGAAATAAAAAGATAGAAGATATTTGGCTATGCTCAAGCGACCGGATGTTCACTCATCGCCATCTTTCCAAAAACCTCACCTAACAATATTTCGGTCATATTTTCTACATTTCGTGGTCCAATGAACGTCTGAGAATCCAGAATGTCATCAAGAAGTGGAGCTTGGGCTGTAGGGAGTGATGGTAGTGACTTTTTACATCGGGAACGTGTTGCATCTCACTATAAAACTAGGTAAATAGGTGAAATTCCTTCAATTTTTTCATTTTTTTGCCGGCCCTGATTTTTTCACCGGATATCGAGTTTATTTTTTCGAATAATAGTAACAATTTCATGTATGTATCAAACTATTATGTAATCTACACTAGAGTTCCATTTGTTTTCGCTGCATAAGACATCTCTCATAAGCAGATGTGATCAAGCAAATTATGATGAATCCCGGAATGTAACAGCTGGCCAGTCCATTGTTACAGGTGCATTTAGATACCCTTTATAATGAATCGAAGACTATAGTCCTGTGCTCTTTTGTATACTTTTTGTGTATTATTACAAGAAGGTAGTTTGGGTCACATATAACTGAAAAAATTGCCTTTCTCAATAAATACCCCCAAAAATGCACATAAAATTTTCAAATCACCCCCACAACTTATCCCGTGCAAGGACTAAAAACCTGAGAATGTCTCAATCTTTTGCCCGTACGATTACAACATGGGTGAATTTTCTACGCCTCTTACACTTAAGATACCTACTTCAATAGATTCCTTGGTAGTTTAGCTTTCTTTAGTTGAATCCACAATTATTTTGGTTAATCGGCAGAAAGGAAACATTTTTCTTTTTCATCGAGAGAGATTCCATCACTTTTCAAGATGGCGACTGGATTTAAAAGGGGATTCCCTGTTTGACTGACCCGGAAGTGGCCCGGAAGTACCAATAAATGGAGGAATTTGATGGTTGAAATAAGTTAATATTACACGCAAATATTGTGATCAAAAACAAAAATTTCTTCTTTCTGCTGGAACGTTTTCTTTTTTTGTAGAATTTTTGCACACTTTTTCAACCATACACTGTATTTCAATCTGTTAGGAAATCTGGGCTCTGCAGCACCAGATGACTTGTGTATAATGGGATATCCCGCTCTAGAACCTATCACTATCATGAATACAGGTGTTTTGTTCTCTATTGTTATTATAGAGTTCATAGTTTTCTCGATGTCTTTCTCGAGATCATATTTCATGCTGTTGTGTAATTTCTCAAATAGTTTTCAAAGGTAATTTCCATTCGGAGTGACAATAAAAAAAGGAATTTTATTTTTACATTGTCCTTTTCAATGTAGATCATTGACGGTGACAAGCAATCTCTTGTTTCCGGTACCAGTCAAAAGTCTATGGACAATCAACGTTACAGTGATCTCCCCAGCATTAAAACAAGAGGGCGCAGCACCCACCTGAGACTTTAAAATGGGCTTCGCTTGCACCAACCTCAGAATTCATTTGCACATAATTGAAAAGAGAAAAATCATGTAAAATGGGCATATTTTAACCAATTTGGTCTGAATTTTGAAAATGAGAATTTTGCCCCTACTTGAGAAAAAAATCCTGTGGAGAACACTGCATTATAAACCAACACAATTTAAGTTTAAGGAAAACATTTCAATTGTGTTTGGAAGCTAGATAAAGGATAGTTGACAGATGTATTTTATTCATTTCTATTATAAAGCAACTAATATGCAGTAATTTTTTTCAGTGCTACCAACAAATCACGATTGAAGTCCATCATCGTTTTACACTTCCTTATGGCAGCCCTCATGTTCGCAAGACTCTCAAGATACTTATTAAAATATTTCGGAATGACACCGCCATTTTTCCTGAGGAAACTTGTGATTCCTCAGCCTGAAATGTGGGAGATGATCTGGTGCTTGAGTACTCTGGCGTCAATATTCGGCTGGATGGGTCTTCCCAAGAACAAATCGATCATGCTCCAGCAATATGCTATTGGGACAATCTTATTCGGACTTTGTCCAGTTCTCTACGCAGCCTATGACTTATCAGATGATTTTATCAATTATATCAACACGAAAAACGTGATGTTATTCTTCTTAGGCTACCCTGCTGTATTATTGTGGTACGGATTTATCGCAATCATGATCCAGATTCATGCTTTTGGACTATATTTCGCTGTTAAACTTATGCAGGCATGGAATTCAATGGCAAAGAAGAAGAAATCGTAAATGTTTCAATCCAGGAATTTAAGTTTCGCGTTCTGCATCAGTTTTGAGCTGAAATTGACAACCTCCATCCTCAGTATTTGTGTAGTGTAACCTTAGTTACCTAATTATTACCATGGAGATACTTGACAAAAATATCTTCTTGTGACCACCAATAGTGTATTAACCACTCTCATTAATATTGCTGTGATATCTTACCCAGGTTCATCACCAAGTAGCACGTTTCCCTCTGACTGGGAGTGATCATTTACAGTTTCGATAGCTGAACGAACTAGAAAGCCCTGCAGAGACATGACTTTCAACCTACATCAATCAAAGGAGGTGTGTTAGGGAGGACAGCCTCTGATTGGCTCATCAAGTTCAGGGATTTATGAATTTTGTAAGAGTGAGACATTGTCAGTTGCTCTGATAAAGGGTAGTGACATATGACCATGTATACTACTCACACATGTGTGCAGCTAGTAGTGAGTTCCTTGTAAGCACCAGTCTAGTCCACAGTTTCGAGAAAATCACAAATTGAGGTTACCTTTTTGACAAACCCACTGACCCAAATTTCTTGAAATGTGCACAAGACTGGTGCAAAAATGTCCAGCATTGTTACTGGGGATGATAAAACCTAAATGGGTGAAAGTGTTGACATTGTAATTGATATTATTAATTTCAATGTCCAGTAAGATTTAATGAGCAGGAAGAGGCATGTTTCTCAGCTTTACTAAATTAATTTTGTGAAAAATGTGGATTGACATTTTGACCCAGCCTATTAAGGACTATGAACTTCCATTGATATATTCACCCATATTTTAAACCAATATCAAGTCCTTTATCAAGTCACACTAACCCCTCCCTCTATGACATGTTCACCTCCCAAGAGTGTTACCATGTGCACCCATACAGGCGAGGCAAATTTGAATATGTGAGGCAAATTTGAATGGGTGAGGCAAGTAAAGCTACAAATTTAACTTTGACTTTAGCTTGCCTCATCTAATCACATGTTTTTTTTATATTAGTGTGGTATTTCAGTTTCACATTTTCATTTGAAAAAATGTCAGTGAATACTTTTTGACAATTTGGTGATGAAATGCCCTAATCTGCTTCTTGCCTGGCTATGTCTCTCCTATACTAAGACTTGTCAGGGGGAAATTTTTGATTGAAATTCCGAGACATGAACTCATGCAAAACTTTCATAAGCTAACTGAAAACACTGTCATTATGCCATCTATTTCATTGTATTAAGTTCAAATCTATACACTTGGCTGTACATTATATGTATGTATGGTATGTATGGCTAGTGTAAAAGGGAATGCTATCTCCAGGGAATGTTGTTTTAGTTTGTATTAATGTCTACCTGTCTCCAATACTACCTGGCCACATGTGTCTAAAATTCAAAAGAGGCAAATAAGCTCATCAAAAGAGGCAGATGTCAATAACTCAAAAGGTAAATGTAAAAAAAAATAATCAGGGTCCTTAGTAAACTGTATGTATTATAATATATAGGCGTAGCCTTAATTTAACTTAGTTGCTTTGTTTAATTTTGGAGTTAAATTAATTAGTTTACTTTTAATGCTGTGCCCGCACTGATTTGGTGGGGGTTTCTTTTTTATAAACATAATAATTACATTACAGTTAACACTGTGTAAATGTGTAAACCAATGATAATTTATATTGAATCAATGTTAAATCCTCCCACATATTGTCATGCAGCACCTTGGCTGTTAATTGTTTGTATTTGCCTCATGAACTTCAAAGAATTGTGCAATTTACTTGTATGACTGCCCTGAATTGGGGTTGAATGTAAGTTTTGTTTTCCAAAATATGTGCAAAAAGTTTTTTCTTGTCCCATAAAGCGTAAGCTTATGTGTGTGTTTATGCCAAAATTATGTAATTATAGAGATAAGGATTGTTTTGTGTGATCAGTTTGTATAATTTGTTCCCATATTTTCTATTGTAAAATATCATATTATGTTTCTGTCACCTTGCATAAAGCTCAGCGAGTCCAGCCCGTTGGGGTAAAATTTCCTCTATCACGCCTAACCATTGACAATGTACAGTGACAAAATATATGGATGTACACTTTAGCTGTACGTTGTCATCTTTTTAAACCTGTATCATAATATTTGCTTCATACATGACAACGTACAGCTAAAGTGTACGCATATATTTTGTCACTGTATGTTGTCGATGGTGAGGTGTGTCTATGGTGATCCCTGTATTTACTTTATAACATCCTGATAAATGTACTTCCTAAATTAAGAAAGTTGTTTCAAGGGTTAAATTACTCCCCGAAGGAGCAAGTTGCCCTCTGAGGGATTAATAAACTCCATCAATGATCAGTTTATTCAGAATGATAAACTTTAACTCTATCCCTGAAGGATCAAATTAATTTCAAGAAACCCCATTAAAATAGTACGCAATTCACTGGCACCTGGGCATACAGAAATACAGTATATGTATGTATGTATGACTGGTGTAAAAGGGAATGCTATCTCCAAGGAATGTTGTTTTAGTTTTGGTGTCCTGATCCTGATAACTGTATTCCCGAAGGATCAAATACATTTTGAATAACTCCTTGTGACACCCTTGAGTGTTCTAAAGTAATACAGGGCATGGTCAATGCAAAAGGAGGAAATGTCCCATAATTCATGATTGAACCTCTCCATGTAAAGATATCCCTCTAAACATGTATCTTTACATGGAGATAGGTCCAGCTTTGAATTCTGGGAAATTTCCAATCTTTGTTGATAAAAGATGCAAACGCTTTTGTTAAATAGTTGACGACTAGATGCACTGCAGTAGAAATATGATCAATGTGAATTAGCTTGTAGTAATGCCTCAGTCATATTTGATCTACGGCAACCATACGGCGGCCATAGATCCTAAAATCGAGAGAAATATGCAGTATGAAATAAAAGGATAAGCAGTACGATGTACATTTTCTATATTGATTTTGTAAAGTAATGGCTGCCATAGAGAAAAGGTGACAGGGGCTTAAGTTATGATGGATTTAGATTTAGAATGGATGCATTGGAATTGCATTGTATTATGTTGACCTTGGTTATATCTATCTATGTCAATAATCTGCAAAAGGCTAATAAGCCCATTTAAAGCAGACATATAGTTTAACAGAATTTGAATGGAATATAATTTAAAAACCGTAACATTTAAAAAATCTTGTGTTTAATGTGCAAGTTTTCAAAGACACTCTGAATTAACATTATTACATTTAATATATGACTTTGTCTATGTTTAATATAAAACAACATAAACAATTAATTGTATTTGGAACATGGTTGAATGAATTATGATGATATGTACTTTATACATGATTTATGGTCCTTTGCATTTTGGTCAGTAAGCTTACATGCTATATTAACAAATCAAGTTGCTAACATTCAAGGGCATCCTTGTTTACAAAACAAACTTTATTATTTATAGATTTATTAATTGTTCTGGTATCTTTAGCTATGAAATATATTTCAGTATTTGTTTCCAATAACCTCACCTCCAATAAACATTTTTGGAATTTTAGAACTTTGTTTCTTGTTCTTTATTTTTAGGTGCTACACTTCCCTTAATAAGTTTGGTAACTGTAAGTATCGATTGAATATAATGTCAAAGTCTGTTTAAATCTTCGAAAATATAACAAAGATGATTTTTAAAAATAAATGGCCAAACAAAAATATAATTTCTCAAGTGATCAAAAATGACGGCAAACTTATGGAGGGAGGTGTTTTTAGCTCACATGGTGAGCTTTTGCAATCGCTCACTTGTCCGTCTGTCTCCGTCCGTCCGTCCGTGTGTCTGTCTGTCCGTCAACAATAGTGGCACGTTTTAAAACCTCTGTCAATAGGATTCCTGTTTTAAGTTATTTCTGTTCAACATCAATACAGAAAACTCCCTATGACTCCTGGTTCAAAAGCTCGCCTATTTTCAAAATGGCCGCCATTTTTATCTCGCGAAATTCACTTTTGACTGGCACGTTTTAAAACCTCTGTCGATAGGATTCCTGTTTTAAGTTATTTCTGTTCAACATCAATACAGAAAACTCCCCTATGACTCCTGGTTCAAAAGCTCGTCTATTTTCAAAATGGCCGCCATTTTTGTCTAGCGAAATTCACTTTTGACCTATTTCCTAGCTTTACAAATAATTGCAGGTGTCCTACATTGTAAAAATCTGTGTCAATGTAAAGAGTAGATGTATGAAATAATTTTGTTGCGAAAAATCAGCAAAAAATTATATCCATTTTTTTATTTTCAGCCATTTTAGTTAACATTGATTTGTCCATCTGTCTGGCAAAATCCACTTTTGGACCATTTGCCTTAAACCCTCTGTCGATAGGATTTCCGTTTTAAGTTAATTTTGTTCAACATCAATACAAAAAACTCTCCTATGACTCTTGGTTCAAAAGCTCGCCTATTTTCAAAATGGTCACCATTCTTGTCTCGCGAAATTCACTTTTGGCCCATTTCCTAGCTTTACAAATAATTTCAGCTGTCCTGCATTGTAAAAAGCCATGTCACTGTAAAGAGTAGTTGTATGAAATAATTTTTAGTTAACATTGATTCGTCCATCTATCTCTCAGTCAGTTCAAAAAAGTGGCAAGTTTTAAACCTCTGTCAACACTTTTTAAATCCTCTGTAGATAGGATTCCCGATTTAAAATAATTTTGTTCAACATCAATAAAGAAAAAAAAAACCTGTGACTCCTGCTTCAAAATCTCGCCTTATTTCAAAATGGCCACCATTTTTGTCTTGGGAAATTCACTTTTGGCCCATTTCCTAGCTTTACAAATAAGTTCAGGTGTCCTGCATTGTAAAAAGCCATGTCTTTTTAAAGAGTAGTTGTATGAAATAATTTTGTCACAAAAAATCTGCAAAAAATTATACCCGTCTTTTTTATTTTCACTTTTGAGCAACACCATGTGAGCCCAGTACCCACGGTACTAATTTTTTTGTATGTCATCATATCCGGGTAAGTGGCCAGAATGCTTTCTTGCATTTTTTCATGGAAGACTATCCTCATTTTCATTTCCCTCAAAATCTCTGTTGATATACGCAGATATCAAAATCTTTCTGGGTACATCAATGCCGGTGTAAAAGAAATGATGGTCCCCTGGGGATTATGGTCCCCTTTCTGAAAGGCCCTTACTGGCCCTGATTGTGGATACGATAATAAGGGAAAGAGTTATATTTAGGTCACCATATAAATCAATGGAAAGTAGGACCATAATTGGAGAGGACCTCCTACCCTTTTACACCGGTGTGAAAGAATATATTCTCCCCTTTCTAAACGGCCCTTACTGGCCCTGATTGTGTATAAAATAATAAGGAAAAGAGTTGTATCGAGGTCACCATATAAATCAATGGAGAGCTTGCCCGTAGCCAGCTTTTACCAGGAGGGGGAGCTTTTTTCCAGGGGGGGGAGCTTTTTCACAATTTTGGCTAAAAATTATGCGAAAAATTCTCAGAATGGTGAAAAACTGCATGAGTTTGAAAGCATTTCTGGCCAGGGGGGAGCTTCCGCTCCCCCAGCTCCCCCTCTGGCTACGGGCCTGGAGAGTATGACCATACTTTGATAGGATCCCCTACCCTTTTACAGCGGCGTTAACATGACTTTAGTCTTCGGAGATGGACAAGTAAGATGTCAGATGGGCACAAATGCTAAGGCCCTCACAAAATAGGTGACTTCGTGACGGAAATAAAAAAAGAAAAAAAGCTCGAAAATATGCCCCAACCATTGTCGACAAAACTGATCAATACCCGGGTCTGTTTTGATAACTTTGGCCCAAAAATGGCCGGCCAAATCACTTGAAAGGTGCTTAAAATTATGAAAAACTGCATGATTTTGAAATTTTTGGCTGGGGAAAGTGCTTCTGGAATTCATAAATTGATGCGATTATTTTTCGTTTCTATGGTTATCGTTATTACTCAGAAAATAACATTTTATAGTAGTAAATTAATACATGATTGAATGTCAAATACATACATCAGCTTATTAATATAATTGAATTCACATCACATATTCAAACTAAACAATAACTCACTGGCAATGCAATATGTCATTCAAGGTTAATATATATTATGATTCATGTCCTGCTTTTGACACTTTTCAGAAGAAAAAAATTCAGGGAAGGTTAACTTTGACAAACTTGGCCCAAAATCAAATAGAAATCATGAAAAAGTGCATGATTTTGAAAGAATCTTAAGGCAGAGGGGGTGCCCTTTAACCTCTCGACCCCCCCCCCCGGCTACGGGCCCGAGAGACCAATTAGTGGGAGAAATAAATTATCGAATTTAATTTTTCATTATTGTATTTCTCTTTCGGTTTTATATTTTTCATATAATAGAAAACTGTGTTCAACACAAAAATAATCACAGGTTCTGTATTCAGATATTAGGGAGTTTAAGCTTGCAATGTTTTCCACAACCTAAACGCGAACGGAAAATATTTAAGCGATGCATTTGAATGGGTTGGAGTTTCGATTTTTTATGCAAGCTTGAACTCTCTAATGTAAAGTAAATGTTTCGTGTCGATCCTCATCCAGATTACATAATTGGCGACTATTCTTTTTAATAGGAGACAATTGTAAATAGTTTGAACAAAATATGCTGATACTTATATTATAGATACGGTCTACATTTAGACATCTGGTGTTATATTCCTTGGAAATTGCATGAAATAACGTTAATGAAAGAAATTGATAGAACAAATGCGTTGCCATTTTATTTTGAAAAAAAAGTTAAATTGACCTCTCGATTTGCTGAATTTGTGTTAGTGATATCATGATTTCCAATTGCAATCGTTTCAATTTTAAGTTCGATCGACTCACAAAGAGTAGCGATGCTAATGTTTTCTTTATGATTACAAACCATCTTATAAGTAAATAGACAACGATTATGGTTATCAACTAGTATTTGAACAGCACTTCAAAATAAATACATCTTTTGTACCACGCAAACGTCATCACCTGTGTTCGAAGAACTGTGTGTTTTGCACTCATTACGCATATTGCTTTGTAAACGCACTGTGACATATATTACTGCGATCCCATAGTCACTGTTCCACAGCTGGATGACTCTAACTGCAGTTACCGTTATTCAAGATGGTTGCCGAAAAGCTGTGGAACAATCTGATGAGCAATTTTACTATTGAAACATATTATTTGTTTTATGATAAATTGGTCGATGAGGCAACTGCCATTCTAAATAATTAACCCCTTTATTTATAACATACTAGATTTCAAGGGTTTGTATGTTTATACCCCCCTCTACGAAAGTTTGGCATCCGGAAGTACCGAAAATCTAGCCTGTTCATTTTCGACGATTTAAAACAATAACATTTCCGAACTATTGCAATCAGGAAAAAAACACTGACATGCTACAAGTACTACAACTTCCTAACTTTTGGAAAGAGATCACGCCCATGAGTAAAAACGATATTTAGTGATAAGTATGTGATATTAAGACTGATTTAAGGCATTTACATTCACAATCTTATTGTATGTAACACAAGTCATGGTTTTGTCTGTTATCTTGATTTTTTGTCACCGCCACAGGTCTCCAACTTTTTCTGGACGGTGATCGGCGTCTGTAACAAATGGCGTCGGTAACAAGTGTTCCGTAACAAATGGGAGGTAGTGACATGTTGCATATCAATGCCTTGTATTTAAATGATGCGGTGTCCTATGTATTGCACTCTGTATATTTTTTCTTTGAAATTCAGTTTTCGCATCAAAGATCATAAGAATCAATGCAAAATACTTGAAAATATTCATACTAACAGTGTATGAGAAAAGGATTGGTTGTTGAATGACACATGAATGACATGTAAGGTGCCCCGAAATAAAACGTTGAATGATAACTGCAGTATCTGTTTAATTTAAAAGTGCGCGTAACAGTTTTGATCGATTGTTAATGTTCATTTCTGTACAATTCATACAGTGAAACAAATAGACCGTTGTAATTTTGATTTAGGTGAATTAACACATAAATCTTAATAAAGTTAACTCATATCGAATTGTCCGGAGTAATGATTTGTGCAATAATCAATATAACTGACCAATGTCAATGAGTAAGCAAATCCAATATTCAATCGTTGTTCAATCGTGAAGGACGTGAAGCTATTTCTGATAGATTAATTGTTTTAATTTGCATAATAAACTATAAAATTGATTACGGTGTAAAATTTATACGCAATCAGGGCCAGTAAGGGCCGTTAAGAAAGGGGACCATAGTCCCCGGGGGACTATAATTTCTTTCACAACGGTGCATAAATTGGGGGCCGGGGAGGGCCTATGCTATTACTATAATTGGCCAGAAATAGCATTGTCAGTATGACTTCTGAAAAGTTGTATCCCTCGATCGATCGATCAAAGCATCCTAATGTAAATGGTATAATTAATCCGTTCAATTTCGAAAGTTATAGTTAATTGAAGACTCGGTCACTACGGCGGCCGTACGACGGCCGTAGCTTTACAAAATTGAAATAGAAAATCTACATCGTCTCTATATTTTATTCTGCATGTTTCTTTTGATTTGGGAAAGCTACGACTGTCGTACGGTTGCCGTAGATCAAATAGGCATAAATTACGAATTTTCTCTTTTCTGTGCTACAAGAGTCTAGCCAGGATCTAAAATTTTGTGAGGCTAATTTAATAGGCCAGACAAATTTGAGTCTAATAACAAGTTATCATAAAACCTCAGTTTCAATTAAAAAAAGTCTGAATCATATTATTTGCAAACTTTTAGCGCCTCGTACCTGGCTACGTCCATGAAGCTGTAACAAAAAAGTTGTTATTATCCTACATTGATACCATCAATTTACAGTAGAAATGATGTCATGTTATTTTGACAATGATGTCAGCACTGCTCACACTGTTTTTGCAGACCATACATTGTAGAGATTAAGATACGTGCCTTGAAGGAAAGTATACGTGTACGTGAAAACTGCCTCTCTCAGTCCAGTATTTTCTAGGGACGTAATAAGCAATTTGCATTATTTATTTGTAATTTATCGGCCAAAATATACAAGTATAGGAAAGGAGAACTTATCCCAAGAAGACCAGCAGAGAACCCTAGTTCTAAGAGTTCATGTTCAATTTATTAAAAGCATATTGCTCAACCTCTCTTTGATCGCTGATCGCTTTTAAATTATTTGTTTATTGCTAAATTATGAAGAATAAGTGTTTCATTTGTTAAAACAATTTTTACAATAGATATATTAAATAAAAAGAACAATAAAATTTAATGAGAGAGCAACATACTGGTGGTTTTTGATTCGAATCAGTAACGGGATAACATTTTTCAATGGGACGCCATCCTTGTTAAAAGCGTATCCTCATGTACAATTCATTTATTTTTTACGATTAGCGAACCATATATTGAACCATATATGATATATCATCATACATCAGCATTATTTTGAATTGAATTCGCATTGTATATAAAGCATTGTATTCTTTTTGCATTTGAATCGTGCATGCTGAATATGTTTTGAATAATTACCGGCAGAAATGGCTTATAAACAAGCACATTAAAATATATACTTTCATTCATATCAGCATGGCAACGTCAATCCAAGCACATCACACTGTTAATTAAAATCATCCGGATTTATTACCGTACGAAGATTGATATATAACTATATGTATTGTTGTACAGATATAATAGAAAAAATTCATAATTGTCACATTTATCTCTACAAGGATGTTTCGAATTTATTAGCAAGTGGAAAAATATCGGAGGCAAGATGGTCCTAGGCATTTGCTTAGTTATTTTTGCGACTTCATCGACCGTCCATTCCGCGGTGCCAGCAAGTATCAGGAATCACCGTAAGTGAGGAAATGGGGGGGAGGGGGTAGGTTAAAATATTAAGGGAGATTGGCACGACATTACATTAATGTACAGATTAATTGCATCAATAAGATTTTCTCAATTCTTATGAAAGTATGTATGTATTCACTAAATCAGTAACTCTATAGCTAGTTCTAAAGCGAATGCGTAATAGGTAGACGTTGAATGGTTTAATAGACATGATATCACTCTTAAAAATAAATTACTTGAGTATTTCCCAAGTATAAAAATTACTTAAAGTTAAATACTTAGTTTTACTTCATTTTACTTAGGTTTTACTTATATTGTCATTTTGAGTTTTTTAATTGCTTAATTATGTAAATGAGTATTACAATTACTACAGTAAGTATTTCAATTTCTCTCCTTGCATTAGTAAATTCACCATAAATTCAGAGTGCCTGTGAGTCATTTTAATTTTTTTAATTAATATATAAATCATTTTTTTAAATTACTTATAATCACTTGTAATTACTTTGAATTACTTAAAAATTATTCAGTAGTTCAAGATTATTTAAGTAATTTTTTACTTAAAATGAGTAGTACAAGTTCTCAATATAAGGAAATCCAAGTAATATTTTTAAGAGTGATGAAGTAGGTTTTGAGTTTGTTTTAGGTAAATAATTGCAAACTCGAGAAGTTTATGACAAAAATTTAAAAATCTCGAATTATGCAGTTCACAAAAACAATTTATTAGATTCCATTTATCCTTTTCCTAAAATAACGACAATAAGAAATTGAACAACAGTAATTTTTGTAATTAATTTACAATAATAATTTCAAGAAACTTTAATCACGCTATATGTGTGACGAAACGACACATCGTTAACATATTCTCAAATATTTTCAAATTGGATGTTATTTTCATGATTACATGTATAACATTTATTTACCCAAATGTCTGTAACCTTTTTTTGTAACGGCCAGTCGTTAGAGGTCCAAGTGACCCCCCCTCTGCGATTTTTCATTACTTGTCTGATTTCAAGTCGATGTTGTTATTAATTCACCTCTTCAAAAATGTATTCTTTTTCAAAAAGAGGTTATCAAAGATCAAGTCGAGGTCAACGTGATCTAGGGGTTGAACAATTTTGACATTTTGTGAAATGTGACATTTTCTCTTTAAAAAAATATTGTTTTGGGTCCCTAACTGCTTTATTTCCTAAACTTTTAAAATAAATAAAAATCGAAGTAAACGTTTTTTATACAAATGAAGTTATGCACTTTCAAAGATAGCAAGTATCGCGAAAACCCATTGGAAAAAAACATTAGAATCAATGGAACGCCTAATTCAATAATCAACAATTTCAAGTTCAACTTAATTTTTTCTTAAACATTCATATTTCAAGGTGGATTACAAATAACAATAAATGATTTGGTAAGATAATGGATAAACGCATGACTTGGTACTATTCCAAAATAATTTCAGGACAATTTGGGATGGGGGAGAATAATCTCTAAATTTTCTCTAAATTTGGAGAGGGTTAAAATCTTGATACCAAAATTTGCATAAATATTCAAAAACATACTCAAAAACATCTCTCAAATTCCCGAAGAGAACGTGATTCGCGAATATTTGGCGATTAACTGTTTCATAAGAAAGTCAATAATGGCTTAATTTTAATAATATGAAGTATGTTTTAAAGGGAATTCAATGTGCTAAATGACAGAGCAATAATATTTATGAATTTCATTTTTATTGACATCAACTTCCGAATATCCTTACTCTGCCCCTCTTTACTCAATCACCTTGATTTTTACGCCAAAAGTGTCATATATCTGTGGCTTGAGATAGAAAAATAAAAGAGTCGTTAAAAAAATTGCAAAAAGTGCAATTGAAAAAATTGAGAGGAGGGTCAATCCCCCGCAGACAAAGGGATGACATAAAAACAACGTCTTTTTAGTGAAACCAACTTCCTATATTCGTCAGATTTGATATGCAAATTTAAAAACGCCACGTGTTTAAACTCCAGGACACATTAACAAATTTCAACATAAAATTGACTCCTAAATTAGGCAGATTATACTTAAAGAATATATACTAATCAGACAAAACGGTTATTTAGGAAAGTACATAATAAACCGCTAACCGCTGTAAGTGTTGGATGGTAGCTGGGAGGGGACAACATCTTTTTAAAATGACGACGTTGCTAAATTTTATCATAGTAATGTAGTAGTAAATGAAGCTTTCATAATACATATGTTTATATATTCATTTTTTATAATTGAATAACGCACTGTTTTTTTCATTTTAGTGTAGATAAAAATTGAAACATAAATAGATAAAGCATGTTATGGAAATTCATAATTCATTGGGATCATAAATGATTATCAGCCATAATTCAATATGGTAACATACCATTGAAAATGTCAGCGCCATCACCTAACCGAAGTTAGACCCCGTGACATTATACTCTTGAAATGTCGATGTTTCAGCTACGTTCACACCAACGGCGCTTTGATGACGCTTTAATGCGACGTGCAAAGCCGCTTTGCACTCCGCATTAAAGCGCCATCAAAGCGCCGTTGGTGTGAACTTAGCTTTAACAATATTTATAACATTTCCTTGGATTTTTCCAACCTACATTGAAGCATTGAGGACATTTTCCATTGTGACAAGATATTTTTCCTGAACCTCTACATGAATAGGTTGTTTAGTACAGGAGGGACTAATTTATCATCCATTTTGCAGTCCGACATACTTTGCGACTGTTCTAGTTTTCAATCACAAGCAAGATAATAGAATTGATGGCCCACGTATCCGCAGTTCATAACACAATGAATTGTAAATCGAATTAGTCGTTAATAGACGCTCCCCAAATTTCACAAGTAGTCTATTTACATCACAAAGACCGTGACATATCAGGACTAATCTAAATTATACTCAAATTGATTTACTATTTCAGCAAAGTTTATAGCAGCTACTCAGGCCGACGGACGTACTGGGGATGCGCTTTCAAGTGCTGTGGATGAACGATATATTGTATATTTCGAAAAATCTCAAATCAATAGAAAATCAAAAGGTAACTCAATTTAACAACGGTATAACCATATATTAATTGTATTTTATCATCTATTCAATAATGGTTATCGCGAGAAGTCTACATTGGCCATACAAAAAACGCATTTTATAGCTGCAAGTTGAGAAAAACTATTTCAGTTGTGATTCAAAGGAATTTACAGATCGATTCCAAATTTTATGGCATTTTTAGCTTTCTGGGTAAGTGTTAAGGTGGTCATTCTTAAATATTGCGTCCTTTCTCATCTGTAAAGTTTTGCCTACGCATTTTTGATAAACTATAAATCATACCCTCTTTAAGGAAAAAAATCTTATCTTTTTCATTTTTCTTTGCAATCATACTAAACATTCAGAGGTTTAATGAATGAATACTTTGACAAAATGGAGAAAATTTCAAAGAATTTTGTAGATATAGTAAAAGGTTAGAGGCGATTGAATAGGACAAGTCACAAAATTGTGAGTGTGACTTTTTACCCTATAAATTGGCGTCATAAATGTGAGAAATCCAATATCCAGCAAAGTGCTCAATGAGGGGATCTGGTGAGACATGCATTTCAATTGTGAGTAAAATCTTTGAAGAATACGCCATTTTAAAAACTTTAAATCTCATAAAACATTGTGAAAAAATATCAGTTCAGAGAATTAAAGTAATAATACCATCATGTTATTTTACTATCATGGGGACTTCACTTTAAGAAAACTTATTGTTTTAATAAAAATCACTGTATTTATACCCAAAAGTACTTATGGTGAAATGACTGTCTAAAATCACTTGCCATACTGCACATGGACCTTTAAGGGGAAAAGTCACATTAGTGAGTTAGTGAGACAATATTTTTAATCATTGCTGACTTTTTTAATTTTCGTCTAATTTATTATAAGATGTTCACCAGCTATTCACAATATTTATATCACATCCCTCAAAGAGTTTAGTAAAATTATACAAAATATTGAAAAAGTTACGATTGGTTAAGGTCATGCACCCTTTTCTTTATAGAGGGTATATATTTTCAAATAGTTATCGATAAAATTAAATTAAAAATAATTTCTTATCCTGCTTTTCTGGTATGCCAATCAAGGTATGGAATCCTATGTTTCAGCTCAAAGTCATATCAACAACTTACAATAGAAATACGTTTACGTCACGCGTGACATGCGTAAGATACTCTGTTTGCCCATCAAGGTATGGACTCCTATGTTTCAGCTCAAAGTCATATCAACAACTTACAATAGAAATACGTTTACGTCACGCGTGACATGCGTAAGATACTCTGTTTGCCCATCAAGGTATGGAATCCTATGTTTCAGCTCAAAGTCATATCAACAACTTACAATAGAAATACGTTTACGTCACGCGTGACATGCGTAAGATTAAGATACTCTGTTTGCCCATCAAGGTATGGAATCCTATGTTTCAGCTCAAAGTCATATCAACAACTTACAATAGAAATACGTTTACGTCACGCGTGACATGGTAAGATACTCTGTTTGCCCATCAAGGTATGGAATCCTATGTTTCAGCTCAAAGTTATATCAACAACTTGCTCAACAATGATGATACCTTGCAACAAGGATCGCCACCAACAGCTGACGTTGACATGTTCTCGCGGGCAGGCTGGGGTATTCGCTGCACTAGCGGAAAGACGACCATAAGTGAAATAATCTGGCCGATGATGGGAATTGTTGTGACATGTGCAAAAGAAGGGTAACTTTTTAAATGCCGTTTTTACAATATAAATACGTTTACGTCACGCGTGACATGCACAAGAGAAAGGTTACTAGTTTCAAATGCCATTCCAGACCAATAGAACTACATAAACGTCAACCGTAACCGTTTCACAATTCCAATTTAAATGAAAATAGTCATTCATTATACAGTGCGTATCAAAAAAACGCAACAGATTGTTATCTTGGAAAAGCACAAAACCAGTGATAACAGCATTGATTTCATTCAATGCACCATAAAGCCATGTGTCTCCTCTTTACAATGATATATCATTCATTGATATTTGGTCATGGTTGGGTGAGTAATCATTCGATTTGCAAAGTGGGCCAAAATTAGCTCCGGGCCAAGTTATAAACATTGCAAAAGTCAGTGTACGGAGCCCGATGTAATATTGGACGAAAACATAAAACCAATGGTGACTGCATCCTTTTAATTCAATGTACCAAAAAGCCAAATTACTCCTCTTTGCAATGGAATATCATCCATTCACAGGGAGTCATCTCTGGCCGAATAATCATTAATTTTGCAAAGTGGGGCAACATTCAGCTCGGACCCAAGTTTAAAACATTGCAAAAGTCAGTACAAGGGGCATAGGAGTTATTTGAAGAAGGTGTGACAGGTATGGCATAGACAGTAACGTGTTCATACTCATACTATTTCAAGAATACATCCTATAGCCCTCCAAAGTGCCACCACTTCCTTGCACATAAAGATGCGCTCATCTGTCCACGTCATGCATGGTTCAGCCCTGAATCATGTTTGTGTTAAAGCAAAGAAAAAAAGCCCATGGCCAAATCTTTCTCGAGGTTTTGCAATATCTGGTGGAGGAATTGTGAGCACAGATGCTCCTGAGGTAGCTCCAAAAGAAAAAGTCAAAACAATTCAAGTCAGGGGAACTTCCATTGGCACTTAGCCCTTGTACTGATTTTTTCAATATCTAAAACTTGTTGCAGAGCCGATTTTGACCCACTGTGCAAATAGAAGGATTTCTCACCCAACCATTACTACATGGGAATGAATGACATATCATTGCAAAGAAGAGAGACATGGCATTATGGTACATTAAATGAAATTGATGTAATCATCACTAGTTTTGTGATTTTACGAGATAACTACTTGATGCGTTTTTTATACGCCCTGCATACTATTTAACAATGTACAGTATTTTAACATAGCAAGTGGTATACTTATCTTGTATTGTATTCTTTATTGGTCTTTTCCATCAAAAAATTTACAAATGGTATAACAAAATATAATTGTCAAACCTTATTCATTAATTATTGATAAAATAGGGGGAGGGAGGGTAACGTTTTCCAGGTGCACTTTAGATTTAACATGGTAATCATGGAAATACAATATATAACTAAAACACTTTCGGGTGGGATTGTATTACGATCATTCAGTTAAGGACATGACAAGTGCTGGTGTGAAAGAATTGATGGTCTCGAGGGATTATGGTCCCCTTTCCTTAACGGCCCTTACTGGCCCTGATTGCGTATAAGATAATGAGGGAAAGATTTGTATTGAGGTCACCATATAAATCAATGGAGAGTAGGGCCATAATTTGATAGGACCTCCTACCCTTTTACACCGGTAGGGCAAATTTTATATTGTCTGGTGTAACTGAATGGGGTGGGGTGATCGATTAATATACAATTATTCCAATATTGTATAAAATCTCTGGAGCGTAGCAAATTTGTAGGAATAGATATATAATTCGAGGAACCGAGGCTTAGAGAATGGATTAATTGATCAGGTTTTGTAAACTTACCTCTTAAATACATTTTTAGCACACTTCTCACGATTATAAACGATACAGTGATAAAAAAGATCGTACAGGATAGCATTGTGTACTCTCTCGGTGGAAGAAAAAGGAAAAAACCTAGACGTAAAAACAAAACCCCACGACCACCACCTCCACCATCACCACCGCCACCCGGGCCACTTTGGCCCGAATGGCCACCAGAACCCACTCTGGCACCGTTTGAGCCGTATCCAGACTGGCCAGAGCTTACACCTTATCCCCCCGATCCTTGGACATGGCCACCTGTAGAGACCACGACTACCCCTTGGTGGTGGTGGTGGACTCCTGTTCAAACCACGACTACTCAAACACCTAGACCTCCTCTAACACCATGCAGGTGGTGGTGGTTGTGCGATCCTGATTCTCTTACAACATCAACAACTACCACCCCCACGCCACGAACAACAACGACGACGTCCACAACAACCTCAACTACTCCAACAACAACAATAATCGATCCGACTACAACAAGAAAACCTACCACCACTCGAAAGCCGACTACCACTCGAAAGCCAACTACAACTCGAAAACCAATTACCACTAGAAAGCCTACAACTACAACTAGAATAACTACAACCGGTTCATCGTCATGTTCAGGACTACGGCAGTATACTCTCAAAAATGATAATACATCAAACTGGGTAACAACTTTTATATGATTCTCAACTCTGTCTGTTTATTTAGTATACAAATAAAGTAGTATTGGGGTTTTATTTTTTTAGAATGTATTGTTCCAGAGTCGAGGAATCGTTTTCTATTTTAACAAAAACTAAATGTTTTGCACTTAAGTTAAACATTCAAACATCTAGATGTACATTCCATTTATACTGTACGTAAAGGACATACGCAAAGGCAGAATCAAATCTAGCAAGTACACATCATTATCTTCAGCATGTTTTTTTTAATTTTAAAATATTTTTAACTTTTATCATTCTTTCTCACGTTTATTTTTAAATTATACCCAAAGTTTGAATTTTATCAGAGATTTTGCGATATTGCCTTCAATATTGTCTATGAATATGGTTACCAATTTTATTATTTAGGAGAACATCCTGCCATTTTACACTTCACTCGGCATCTTTTGAAGTTGATCCCGACTATGGAATCAATGGTTGAGTAGGGATCAAAACCAGACATAGTTTTCTCTTGACGACCATTGTGAATTAGTGTGTTTTATGGATTACAGCGACGACTTTGCGAATTTATATTGACCCTTTATAAAGTTCAAGGAATTGTTTCAGGGTTTTCTTCAAAATGTATTGTAATGGCATCCATATGAACGATATGTCCCTTGGTGTTCTGGCCCTGGATTGTAATATTGGTTCTCGATTGGAGGGGGTGGGGTGGGATGTCAGACATTATTTGTTTTCACGTTAGATCTTAATTTTAGGATGCATAGGATCTATCCTATCAGAGGTGTGCTTTTCTTACTATGTTTCTTTACAGGTTTTTGGGACTATCCCTTTGGTATTTGTGCTTAGATGCTCACCAATCGATAACATATCACAGATCTTTTGGGAGATATTATATTTGAGCTTATAGGGGGCACATTGGGAGGTCAATTATACATTGCTTGCAATTTCATGAAAGGTCAGGAAAAGGGGAGGGGATGCCTGCAAGGTTAGCATATTTTAAGCATCTATTCAGCCAATAGTTACATTTGTTTCAATTGCAAAATGTTCATAGGTTCATCATATATATTTTGATATTAATATGTTATTATTTTACAGGGCCTTGATAGAATAAATCAAGAAACAAATCAACTGGACAATAAAGCATCTATATATGGTACGTGTTTATTAAATAAAGAGCTGCAATTCATAAAAGCATTCTCATAAATGTACATGATGAAACGATGATACTCACTTAATTAATTAAAGGCAGAATCAGATCTATAGGGGGTGACAAAATTACAAGCAACGTGTACAATTGACCTACCAATCTATTCATTACAATGTCAAATACAATATCTCCGAAAAGATTCACAATATGTTATAAATTGGTAAAGTTATTAATGATTCAAAGTGCAAAAATGGATGAAAATGTTTAAATTCTCCAAAATAATAAGAATGGTGACCATTCTTATAAAAAAATAATACATTATTGTAAAAGTCTTTAGTTTTCCTGGAATAAATTATGCACTTTTGTGATTTTTAGAAAAATGACATGACAAGGAATGACACGAGACAAAGATATTATAAAATTGAGACAATTTTTTGTTTTGCCTGCTTGCTATATCTGATTCTCTCTTTAAGCTTATCAAAATAATTTCGCACTTTAAAAGTATGGATTACTTGACCCTTACTCTCTCTATATATGAAAAAAATATACATATTAATGTATAATGCTATTTTGCTTGCACATTTAGTGTAAAGACCACAACTTCTAGTTGTACATTATCATTCAATCTTGAAAAATGTTCATTGCTTCGAATTGGAAATGGAAAAAAGGTTTAGATATAGATTTGTCAAACCGCGCATGCTTAGTTTCTTCGTTTCATTTTTAATTGTGCACGTTACACACTATTATGAATTACTTATTAAGCGCCATTTCTAATGATTATTACAGCTATATGCTAATTACATTATAATTTTATATTACATACAGGTGATGGAGAGGGTGTGGATGTATACATTATAGATATGTAAGTAAGATATGTCAATAACGTATATTTACGAGGGTTGTCCCAAAAGTCTTGACATTTTAATTCTAATTCAAAAAGATTCAAATGAATTTGGCTAAAAATCGGTATGTATCAAAATCAATCAACTACCCTCAACATGTGATAGTTTCATAACAAAATTGTGAACTTGAGTAGTTATTATTTTTATTTGTATTATTATTTTTTTTATTATTATAGTGCAATACAATAAAAATACAAAGTCTGTGTAAAGTGTTAAGAGACTCCAATTCAATTGGAAACTCTGTCGGCCAGCTACATATTAGTTGTTGGACAAGTAATTGCATTATACAAAATTTTTCATTGCCCTAATGCTTTGTTATAACTAACTAACTAATACTGACATAAATAACAATAATCAGCCATAATTAATATGGCAATAAATGAGCCAGGCCACAGGAAAAGGAGTCTTATCACAGATTTTTCAATATTCTGATTTTTTGTTTATCTTAGAAAGCACAAAGAGACCTTTCAAATGAGCCATGGCTTATGTCTTAACAATTTTTCCTTGCCAGGAAAAACCAAAAAGTCGGATTTAAATTTAGCACATTTTCCTCTTAATCTCTTGCACATTTTTGGCTCTGTAGCACAATTCTAATTTTTGTGATAAGACCGGTTTTTCTATGGTCAGGCTCAAATACATCTGGGAAGACTAGGCGGCCAACAATCCAATGGTTAAGACTATTTTCAAAATGACGTTAAATGTTCAATTGTTCAAGCAAAACCTGTATTTTATACATATAGATGACGTGTTTTTGAAAAATCCTATCGAAATCATGAGATTAGGAAATATTTAATTTCCATGTTGAAAATTGTCTTCAAATAAATCTTGAAATTTTCAATAAGAATTGTTGTTCCATCGCATATAGAGTAAACACGACTTTCATTAAACCTGTCCAGGCTACTATTGAAGTCACAAAATAAAACTTGAAAAACATTATTCTTACTATACTTCCAGGGGTATACGATCAGATCACGTTGAGTTTACTGGACGTATAGATAAAACAGTAGTAAGTATAGAACTTTAGCTTTGGTCGAGATATTGAAATAGGTTAATGTTCGATTGGATTATCTTGGATCCATAGGACGAATAAAACAACTTCATTATTGACATATACACGGTGTACCAAAAAATTAAAAAAAACTTTTTAAAAAGGCTAGAAAAGTATCATAACATAGTAGTAAACACTTATTCCAGTATGAATCCTTCTATGACCACACAGGAGAAAATGATGTTGATCTTCGGAGGAGATGACCGTTTAAGTCCAAATGAACTAAAAGCAATTGCATGTGACATACGAGACATGTATCTTCAAAGAGAATGAAACTTTTACACTAGAATTTTCTATCGAGGTGATAATGGCACGCACATAAATCATTCAAAATCAATACGATCTATTTCATCTATTAGAATTTTTTACTCAAAAATGGGAGTAGTGATTCGCGATATTGGCTATATAACATTAGTACATACAGTATAGTTGCGTATACTTGTTGTTCATATATCATTCACTATTATATACATTCAATGCAATTTATGTATCCTAATTATTATATATTTATCTCCTATCCTGGAGGGAAAATAAACATAACTAGATTTGTGAAATTGAACAAGTTCAATTTAAGACTCCAGATTTATTTGACCTAGATAGATCAGTAAAGAGCTGAGTAAGTAACTGAGTAATTAGCTGAGTAAGTACCTTAGTAGTAGTTGAGTAAGTAGCTGAGTAAGTAGCTGAGTAAGTAACTGAGTAAAAAGCTGAGTAGGTAGCTGAGTAAGTACCTAAGTTAGTAGCTGAGTAAGTTGCTAAGTAAGTAATAACTAATTAAGTAATTGAGTAAGTAGTCAAATAAGTAGCTGAGTAGGTAGAGAGGTAAAGTAGGGTATGCAGGAATTTTTGAAAGTATATTTGATCAATCTGCATCGTGAATACTGGCAAGTGCGAATTTCAAACTTCAAAATGGCGTAGAATCTAAACCGGGGGTCGGATTGCAATTTTAATTTCAGATCTGGATTCCTGAGGAAATTCTACCCCTAATTCATAACTCATACTTTAAAATTGGAGATTTTTTTATTTTGACATTTCGGACACCATATCTCAAAAGTGGGTCAAAAAAGTTATTGACGGCAAAATGTTACATTATTAGCACACTCTTTGCTACAAGTATACAAAATTTCGGAGAATATCATTGAAGTGTAGTGTCAGAATCGCAAAATAAAAAAAAACTATGAATTTGACCTAGATTTTGAACTAGGTATTTTGGTGTCCAAACTTTGAAGGAAAGTAGCTTTTGAGGTCCCCTTCTTCTATGGGCTTTCATTATGTTTAGCTGTACTCATTCTTTATCTCGTATTTTTACACTTCAAAAAATTATTCGGTCCCATTGATTTAACATGGGGCACCAAATTTAGCGATTTTTGAGATCTCAAAACGCCATAACTTCAGAACAAGTAGTCGGATCGAAATTTGGTTTGCAGATCTAGATTTCTGAGAAAATTCTACCCTTAATTCATAACTCATACGTTAAATTTGGAAAACGTTTTACTTTGGCCTACTTTTTGGACACCATATCTCAAAAGTGGGTCAAAATACTTTCTGACGGCAAAAGGCTAACACTAATAGCATACTCTTTGCTACCTGTATACAAAATTTTAAAGCAAATCATTTAAATATAGTGTCAGAATCGCAAAAATAAGGGAAAACTATAAATTTGACCTAGATTTTGACCTAGGCATTTTGGTGTCCAAATTTTGTAGCTAAGTAGCCTTCGAGGTCCCCTTCTTTAATAGGCTTTCATTATATTAAGCTGTACTCAGTCTATATCTTGTATTTTACACTTCAAAAAAATGTTTTTTCCCATTGCCATAACATGGGGCACCAAATTTAGCGATTTTTGAGATCTCAAAACGCCATAACTTCAGAACAAGTAGTCGGATTGAAATTTGGTTTGCAGATTTGGATTCCTGAGAAAATTCTACCCTTAATTCATAACTCATACGTTAAATTTGGAGAACTTTTTAGCTTGACCGACTTTTCGGACACCATATCTCAAAAGTGGGTCAAAATACTTTCTGACGGCAAAAGGCTAACACTATTAGCACACTCTTGGCTACATGTATACAAATTTTCGAAGAATATAATTAATCTGTAGTGTCAGAATCGCAAAAATAAGGAAAAACTTTGAATTTGACCTAGATTTTGACCTAGGCATTTTGGTGTCCAAATTTTTATGAAAAGAAGGTCTTGTGGTCCCTTTCTTTTATGGGCTTCCATTATGTTTAGCTGTGCTTAGTCTATATCTCGTATTTTACACTTCAAAAAAATATTTTTTCCCATTGAATTAACATGGGGCACCAAATTTAGCGATTTTTGAATTTTCAAAACGCCATAACTTCTGAACCGGAAGTCAGATCGAAATTTGGTTTTCAGATTCGAAATCCTGAGAAAATTTCCTATAAGACTGATATCCTGGACATTGGAGACGGTGAAATTTTTTTTGGACCTCGTTTTCGGACACTGATATCTCGAAATCGGTTTGAGATACCAAAAAACTAAATCGACCCTAGGTTTTCTACTTTTTTATGAGGAACACAATGAAAAAAACCAGGATCAAAAATATTGAAGGACGACCGAGATAATGGGAAAAAGTGACAAAGTACTCGATTTGACCTAGTTCTTGACCTTTGACCTAGATAAAAATTTGACCTAATTTCCCAGAAAGCCAGATACATTCCCTAGTTGGTCATGTAAGCAGCTTAAAGTAAGCTCTTCTAGTTGGTGAGAAATCTGGGAAGGAGGAAGAAGAATAACTAGACTTGGGAAATTGAACGAAGTTCAATTTCAGACTCCAGATCTAGACTTTTTTTAAGCCGAGTCATCCAGAATAAGCCGAGTCATCCAAAATAAGCTGAGTCATCCAGAAAAAGATGGATGGATGGATGGATGGATGAAAAAGGAAGGAAGGATAGGCTAGAATAGGAAGGGACGATAGGATAGAATAGGAAAGAATGATAGAATAGAATAGGAAGAAGGAATAGATAGGAAGGATAGGAAGGAGAGGATACGAAGGAAAGGTAGATAAGAAGGATACGATATGATCACAAAGGAAGGATGGATGCATTTATCAATATTTTCTTCTCTACTCTTGACTTTCTATCAGGATACCATCAGATCGATTTTTCTCGAAATTTAAAAACGCCATAACTTTCAAACCGGAAGTCGGATCGAAATTTAGTTTGCAGACTCGAATTCCTGAGAAAATTCTACCCTTAATTCATAACTCATATGTCAAATTTTGAGAATTTTTTATTTTGACCTACTTTTCGGACACCATATCTCAAAAGTGGGTCGAAATACTTTCTGACGGCAAAAGGCTAACACTATAAGCACACTCTTTCCTACTACCTGTATACAAAATTTTGAAGCAAATCATTTAAATATAGTGTCAGAATCGCAAAAATAAGGAAAAACTATGGATTTGACCTAGATTTTGACCTAGGGATTTTGGTGTCCAAATTTAGAAGTTAGGTAGCCTTCGAGGTCCTCTTCTTGCATAGGCTTTCATTATTTTAAGCTGTACTTAGTCTATATCTCGTATTTTACACTTCAAAAAAATCTTTTTTCCCATTGACATAACATGGGGCACCAAATTTAGCGATTTTTGAGCTTTCAAAATGTCATAACTTCCGAACCGGAAGTCGGATCGAAATTTGATTTGCAGATTCGGATTCCTGAGAAAATTCTATACTTAATTCATAGCTCAAACGTTAAATTTGGAGATTTTTTTATTTTGACCTACTTTTCGGACACCATACCTCAAAAGTGGGTCAAAATACTTTCTGACGGCAAAAGGCTAACACTATTAGCACACTCTTGGCTACATGTATACAAAATTTCGAAGAATATAATTAATCTGTAGTGTCAGAATCGCAAAAATAAGGAAAAACTTTGATTTTGACCTAGATTTTGACCTAGGCATTTTGGTGTCCAAATTTTTATGAAAAGAAGGTTTTGAGGTCCCTTTCTTTTATGGGCTTCCATTAGGTTTAGCTGTGCTTAGTCTATATCTCGTATTTTACACTTGAAAAAAATATTTTTTCCCATTGAATTAACATGGGGCACCAAAATTAGCGATTTTTGAATTTTCAAAACGCCATAACTTCTGAACCGGAAGTCTGATCAAAATTTGGTTTTCAGATTCGGAATCCTGAGAAAATTTCCTATAATAGTAATATCCTGGACATTGGATTCGGAGAACCAAATTTTTGGACCTCGTTTTCGGACACTGATATCTCGAAATCGGTTTGAGATACTTTAAAAGTAAATCGACCCTAGATTTTCTACTTTTTTATGAGGAACACAATGAAAAAAACCCGGATCGAAAATATTGAAGGACGACTGAGAAAATCGAAAAAAGTGACAAAGTACTGGATTTGACCTAGTTCTTGACCTTTGACCTAGATAAAAATTTGACCCAATTTCCCACCAACTAGATACTGAACCTAAATGAACTGTATTATGGTTCTTACTGGATACCTCATAGTTACTGAAAAAACTCCCAAAGAATAATAATAACTAGACTTTGGAAATTGAACGTAGTTCAATTTCAGACTCCAGATCTAGACTTTTTTTGGCCGAGTCATCCAGAATAAGCCGAGTCATCCAAAATAAGCTGAGTCATCCAGAAAAAGATGGATGGATGGATGGATGAAAAAGGAAGGAAGGATAGGCTAGAATAGGAAGGAACGATAGGATAGAATAGGAAAGAATGATAGAATAGAATATGAAGAAGGAATAGAATAGGAAGGATAGGAAGGAGAGGATATGAAGGAAAGGTAGATAAGAAGGATACGATAGTATCACAAAGGAAGGATGGATGCATTTTTCAATATTTTCTTCTCTACTCTTGACTTTCTATCAGGATACCATCAGATCGATTTTTCTCGAAATTTCAAAACGCCATAACTTTCGAATCGGAAGTCGGATCGAAATTTGGTTTGCAGACTCGG